ACGACAAGGGTGCTGATCATGTGCTCACTGTCATTGTGTATTGTGAATTTCAGATTTATCAACTAGACACAATCAAGAAACACTTGGGGAGAGAATATCAACCAGGACTTGTTGGGTTTGTTTCTAAGCATATTTGTGGTGTAATATCTTAATAAACTCATATGGAAAGACCCAGGTAACTCTGGATACCAGAAATTCAGAGCATATAAATAGAGTTCAGTGCAAATAGGAAATTGAGCATGTATCCATTGATTTCTTTCAGCTCTTGACTGTGGAGATGATGTGAATTAGCTGTTTGAAGTTCCTGTATTGACTTTCTCACAATGATAAACTAACCTGGAGTTATAAACTAAAATAATACTTTTCTCCTCTAAATTGTTGTTTTCTTCAGAATATGTTTATCACAGAAATAGAAATCAAACTATGACACGTACTATTTCTCTCAGGCTCTCTCATATACTGAACTAAGAAATATGCAAACTGTTTCTAATAACATATTTTATGAGCTACAGATATAAATTATTTACAGATGCTATACATACAACTTTACTGCCTATAATGTAATATCTAAGTATCAAGATTGATTCATCTTAACTAGGCTTAATCTTTTAGTTATTACTGAGGTAGTGGGGAAAGATTTCTGCATACATTTCTGAAATTGCTTGAAAACGACAGGAGTATGGTCTGAAGAAAAGAGCAAATGATATCAGAAAAAAAACAAAATAACTAATGTTAACTTTTACTTTGTTTTATCTAAGAAACCACTGACAAAAATGACAATAGCCTATATAGTGCCAATATGAATATTCAAAGCTGGATGTACACAAGTCCCTAATTTAATTAAGCATTTCCCCAAATTTTTATTCTGTCAGAGAACTTCACAAATTTTCTATGTGCACATTTTCATTCTTTGACAAAATATATTTTTCTAGAGTAGTGTCTTTTATGAAGTGAGACACAGTAGCTATACATTATAGATGCAAAATATTCTGAAAATTCTAGTTATTCTTTTTAAGAGATTATTTAACATAAACCAAAACTAACTGAACACTAGTTATTTTTCATCCATGTGACAATACGACTAAAATAAATGTATATCTCAAACAAATATAGTTTTTACATATCCTCTCCCATAATCCCAGTTTCTATTTAACAAATACTTCACAGTATAAATTTTATAGAAGTCCTTAACCAGAACTCTTAAATTAAAAATTTAAGACAGTATATAGTTCAACTCTAAGCACCTACAAATTAATTTAATTCATGACCAGTATGCAAATAGGATATTTTCAAAGTAGATTGACTTACCTTTAATTTATTCCATATTTACACATATATATTATGGGTGTTTGTTAAATGGAAGTAATATATGTTATTGTAAAGGACCATGAGATACTTTTAGAAGCCCAACACTGAACATCCAAAGAGATTTATATTATAAAATGTGTCAACTCTTCCCTAGGATCCAGTTTTACCAAGATAAACTTGTCATCTCTTCTAATGACTTATAAAATATTATGGCCCTACACAGAGGAAGCAAAATACCTTGGGAACTATTCACTATTTTCCAAATAACGCAGATAATTTACAAATGATTTTCAATCCCTTTACTTGTTTTTTCATCTATCAGTGCCTCAATGCTACCTTCTGCAAACCACTCCCCCATATGAAGGTTTCCTTTTATAAATTTTTGAAAACAGAACAGAGTTTTGTGATGCACATGTTAATATTCTCACAGTGAAAGAGGTAAATGCAATATAATTATCATTGAAGCTATGGATATTTATATGTCACAGGGCTTCTGGTAGAAATGACAGCATATGCACATTTCCTTAAAATTCCAGGTCCACAACATATCAATGTGACAATGATTTAATTATAGATAGCTACTAAAAGTAATGGTACAGTATATTTATAAGCATCAGAAACTGAAATTTGTATTAACATCACTTCATTATGCCAGAAGCAAAAGGTACATCATTTGCATATCTAGTCTAGTTTGAAAAACTATGCAAAGAGATCATTCAGTGTTCATCCTCGGGGGGATGGGGGGAAGAAAGCTGAAAACTGAGAAGAACACTAAGCTAAATAAAGCATGTTAAGACAGACAGTTCACTTCATATGATGGCCTAGTTGTTCCATTTTTGCTGAATGCTCACAGCCAAACCGTATAACCTCTCTCCATTTTATTTTCTGAAAATGGAATTGGTATAGGATCATTATTTTTTACAGTCCTAGCTACTGTCCCTATTTTCAAATAGAATGCTCTTTAGGATTAGTTTGAAAATTGAAAATGTTTATGTAAATATAGAGATGATATACCTATGACAGTTATCATCAATCATAGATAATGGTAGCCGCTATCAACACTCATGGTGAGCAGGTACTGTTCTGAGTGGTTTGCATGTATTGTCTCATTTAACTTTCGATAATTCTATAGATTAGGTACAACTCTTTTCCTTAATTTACAAGAGAAGAAACAATCTCAGAAAGGTTAAGTATTGTGTCCAAATTCCCATAGCTAGTAAGGGATAAAATGAGATTAGTCCTTCAGCAGTGTGATTTAAAGTCTGTGCTGTATAGGAATGTTACAAATAGAAGAGTGCCTGTATTATTTGTAGCTGTATATTGCACTTGGTGTTCAGGTCAGAAGTCAAATATTTCTTTGAGAGGGTAGGACACAGTTTAATAAAAGTAAAATATAAATTATCTGACAAAATCCATTTTTATACACTATGACATCTTAAAGAAAATGTCTTGCAAATTTATCAAATAAATCTAAAAGTTTCAGAAATTCATAGCAAAAAATCTTAGTGGTATGGCAGGACAGAGATGAGACTCGAGGCTAGATTTAGTCAGTGGATTATTCTGCATTGTCATATGAGTACTTGGAACTTAACTTTCACAGTAGTCTAGATAATTTTGGGGGAAAGGAGATAGGTAAAATATCATTTATTACTTTAAGTCTTTCCTTCCTTATTCAACTTGATTATAAGTACTGTTAAACTTACACTGATTCAAGTTTTCACTTGTCTTTATACCCATGAGAAAACTGATGGTTAGTTAATAGAGTTATTTTAATCAACAAAAGGAAAAGAAGACTACCTAATTCTGTCTAAATAATCTATACACTCTACTAAATATTTCCTCCTTTTCTATTCCAGATTACTACTTATATCTATCATTCAGCAAAGCAACATGTTTCTCCATTTAATCTTTAGATTATTATTTGATTTTTTTCTTTTGCCTCACTAGATTGACAGTCCCTAAGGATCTAAAACCATAAGCCCCACATTGTTCCAGATACACATCGTGAAGTTCCAAAGTGAGATGGCATCTGTTTTACATATGCCTTGTAGTTATTTTTCATCCTTTGACTGATATTGAACTAACTTGCCTGTATAGTTGCTGGAATTATGGATATAAAGTTCTCAATGAATTCATGTTGTTTACCCTAAGCCAGGTAACTTCTTTTTCTTTATGCAATAATTTAAGAATTTAACTTTTTTCCTTTATGAAATTAAGTTTTAAATTCTAATTCAGCAACAACCATGAATGTGAGCACACAGATAAATTATTTATTACCCTAAGTATTCTAATAAGCACCTCTATAAACATCTTACACTTTATTTGCTACATGACTCCAAAATGTGTCAATACAAAATTCCTCATCAGAATAAAATCAATAATTACACAAAACAGACAAACATGTAGCAAAGTGTGGCAGTAGAAGCCTGTAATTTTAGCATGTGGGAGAAGAATTCCAGCTCAGTCTGCACTATATAGCAACAGATTTTCTCAAAAATCCAAAGGGGACAAATAGAGAAACACTTTAAAAGTTTATAAACAGCTCACATGGAGGGCATCTTGCTTTTCATCACCTTAGAAAATGAATCATGATTATGTAACTCGAATACAACCAAAATCATTTAAAAATGGGAAAAATTAATTGCCCAAAAGTTTATCCTGAATGGCAAAACAGGCAATCAGAATTTTGGGGCTTAACTTTTAAAGGAAGGAATAAAAATTAAAAAAATTGGGTTTTGCTTAAAATATGTCAAAAATGAGTGGAACCAGTACTCTGTCAGCAAATAATCAGGATGTGTCATGCAAAGTAGACAGAGGAACAAGTTAAATGATACAGTGAGGAAGTGTGAAAAATACAGAACATTGAGATATTCTGTGAAACAACTAGTTACACAGAAAAAAGAGGACTATTTCAGAAAGGAAATATTTAAATAGGTATAATTAAATGGCATGGTTTGTTTTAAATTTGGTTTGATAAAAATATATATGAGTAAAAATATTAATACTCTGTGACTTTAGATAGTGCAATATATAACTGTAATAGTATTTAAAATATTATGAGCTATGAAATATATTAAATTACAAGAGAGAAAAAGCCACTAGAGGATATTTAGTGGTTCCATAGTAATTTGTTACTTATCATCACCAGAAACCTGTTTATTGTGTGATTTGAGCAGTTATAAAATCTCTCAATTGCTTGCTAAATTCTAAAAGAAATAGTTCATCACAAAATAATTATGAAATTGCAGATCTTCTTGGTAAGACATTCATGACTGCAGCATCATGAATATTGGCCACACAGTTCACCTTTCAATCTTTCTTCCTAACTGTTCTACCTTTTACTTTTTAATTTTGGCTGCTTCACTTTTCATGAGCTCAACAAATAAAACCAGAGACCTTCATGGCTCTTAGCAAACAATCCAAAAACCTCAACTGAGTCTATAATATCCAGCCTGAACAACTTCATCACTGTGTTTCTCTTCTACATTACCTTTTAGCACACTCATCCTTTCCTTTCTCTGTACTTCCAACTCAATGGTCTTCCATCACTATTTCAGATACACCACATTCTTTCTATTCTGCGCCTTTGCACATAGTATTTCCTTCTGTAAGCATAACTCAATTGTGTTTATTTTAGCTTCATTATCAGCACCACATGAAAACACATCATTCATCATTCCTCAATTACTTACCTAATTTGGAATCTGGGATAGCACACACTTCTTTTTTCTTTCACCTCTCCAGAATTTCCCTTCCAAATTCCTTTTCAGATTCTTTCCCATTTAACATATATGAAAGAAATGAGATAGTTTATTAAAGTACTTGTGGTGACTTGGCAATAAGATTTAGGTTATAGAATGAAAACTTAAAGTAACAACAATTTCAACTAAAATTAATGAAGAATGCTAAGAAAAAAAATGTTCCTTTATTCAGAAAAACCCTCCGAAAAAAGTGGATGAGTATTTCTCAGTATTAGTCATTTATTCAGTTATTTATTTCCTACTATAAACCAATAGCAATTACCTCCCCCTCATGTTTTTGTACCCATACTAATCTATTTCTTCTTCTTGGCTCATAAAATTCCTCTATCATCAATCACACATATGTCCACATTAAATTTCTACAGTGCTTTAAAATTAAGAAAGTAATAAGATATATCTATTTTAAAGTTTGTACTAGCATAAACTAATCATACTTAATAACAGATTTCATTATTACATTTTCATGAACTCATTTTATGTATTTTGATTATATTCAACTCCCATTGCACATTCTTGCCCCCTTCTACTCCCTCTTATCTCTTTCCACTTCCCAACTAGTTCCTTTCTACTTTCAAGGCTTTTTGGTTTCGTTACCCAGTAAGTTTATTAAGGGTTTGCGTACGGGAGTGCGGTTGAAGGGTTATTTATAGAATGGGTAACTTACCAGGATATACTCCACTAGAGAAAATGTTTCATTTTCTCCTAGCAACTGTTAACTTACTACAAATTGTCAGGGGGTGGGGCCTCTTGAGCCCCTCCCCCTCTGTGATCTCATGAACAGGCAACTTAGCTGCTGAGAGTTCAAGAATGCCCTGCCATATCATGAGTATAATACAGTGGTTTACACTACTTTAAACTTCATGTTCTTATATTCATTCTGCCCTGCTGTGGGATGTCCTGTATGCTGTAAATATATGTTGCTATGATTGACTGATAAATAAAATGCTGATTGGCCAGTAGCCAGGCAGGAAGGATAGTGTAGGCAGGACAAGGAAGAGGAGAATTCTGGGAGGTGGAAGGCTGAGGCAGGGAGATGGGACCAGCCACTGTGAGGAGAAGCATGATGTAAGACATCAGTAAGCCATGAGCCACGTGGCAAGGTATAGATAGACTTATGGAAATAGGTTAATTTAAGATATAAGAACAGATAGCAAGAAGCCTGCCACGGCCATACAGTTTATAAGTAATATAAGTCTCTGTGTGTTTACTTGGGGGACGCTAGTTGGAGAGATTTGCCCCAACTGCTGGCAGGCTGGGACACAGGAAATCTTCAGCTACACTTGCCCCTCTTTTCCACAATGTTTATTGACCACTTGAGTGGTTGATAAAAACTTTACTTTATGGAGTAATTAATTTTCTATTTTCCATACTGTTCCTAAATTTTAATGTCCAATATAAATTGATTAATATAGAAATTTCTAGTAACAGTAACACATCTAAGACAGAACCTCAAAGTGTCATTGCAATATATATGTATCTTCAAGATTTTTCTCTTCCTAAAATGGTATGACAAATAAGGCTTGACTGCATTTATGTACTTCAGCTAAAATATACCTTACAAGAGACTACATGTAAAGAAGATATGAAAATTATTAAGTTGTATATTAAAGAAAATTGGAAAACATAAAGTGCTATTTTCTCAGCACTATTTTCATTTGGAAAATATGACATTTAAACAAAATTGTATCTAGATTGCACATAGTTTTGTGATTGTTATTTTAAGTGATTAAAATATGTATTTCAGTTTTAAAGCCACAAATTCCAATTGCAATGATATAGATCACAAACTATTTACCACATAAAGAGATGCCCCTTAAGGTCCTCAGTAATTTGTCAATAATGGAAAATAATCCTTATCTGGTAAAGATTAAGAGCCATGGCTTTGAAAAAAATTGCTTTTCAAATAATGTCCAGTGAACACCTGTACTAGAGTCACGTGGGACACTATAGATCTTGGAGCTCTGCATGATGACAGAAACCTGTCATCCCAGAACATAGTGTGGACAAAGGAAAATTACCCGCTTGATGGCAGCTTCAGGCACAGAACAAGATCTATGCCCACCTAGATTACACTGAGAGTTCCAGACAACAAGGACACTGTGTTGAAGTCATATTTCAAAAACAAAAACAAAAAATTATATATAATGAAACCAGCTCTGCATGCTTATAAACCTCAACATTATATTTCCCTTCTCTTATTTTCCCCTACCATAAATCCTGGGCTGTCTTTCACATACATACTCAATAAAAGACATATTTATTTAAGGAGGCTCAAAATGGTTTACTTATATCACACAAGCTTTAGAGACTGCAACACAGGCTTTGGGAAAGGCTAATTTTTATGTTTTTCTTTCCCTGTAGTCTCAGCCATCAAGGAAGCTGAACCAGGAGGAATGTTTAAGCCTTGAGGTGGAAACACAAGGAGACCCTGTGATAAACAAACTATGCTTTCCTTTTAGTTTCAGTGGCAGTAGGAAGATTTGGAAATTTCACAAGAGGCATGGGATATCATAAAAGTGTACAAGGTGGGATCATTCACTGTGGAAGAGAATTCCGCATACTAGAGAAATTCAAGCACTGAAAGAGCTCAGATTTCCAAGGATAGGAGAGATCTACCCATGGTGAGGTACAGAGTTACCAGAGCAGAAGGAATGCTCAGAATTTGAGGGCAGGGGTTTCAGAATCATTGGGTGCTACAGAATGTGTGAGCTGAAGGATTGAGGAGGAGGTTCTTTCCAGATGTAGGGGTTTATGGGGTGTGTGATGGGGGCATTCTGGAGGACAGGTGTCCAGGAGCGCAAATGTTTTTTGATGTGTGAAATTAAAAACATGAGGGGCACCCAGAAGTTAGAGGAACTGGAAATTTTGAGACTTAAGGCATTTCCACAGGAGGGTGGTTAGGGGATTCTGGAGGGTGAGGGCAGTGATCAGCGATTTCTAGCAGGGTGTTTTAAGGTGTACAGTGCTTCAGAAGTGACGGTGGCAGTATTACATATGTGGGAGAAGCCATTTTCAAGAAGGTATGTAGAGCAGATTGTATAACAGGAGTTGTACACTGTTAAGGAGTGAGAAAGGAAGTGGGAGAGCAAGGAAAGAGAGACCATGATAAATGAGGACACCATGGGAATAGGAAGAAGCAGAGTGCTAGAGAGGTCCCCAGAAATCCACAAAGATACCTCCACAATAGACTACTGGCAATGGTCGAGAGACAGCCCAAGCTGACCTACTCTGGTGATCTGATGGCCAAACACCCTAACTGTCATGATAGAACTCTCATCCAGTGACTGATGGAAGCAGATGCAGAGATCCACGGCCAAGCCCCAGGGGGAGCTCCAGAGAGGAGAGGTTATATGAGCAAGAGATATTGAGACCATGATTGGAAAAAGCACAGGGACAAATAGCCAAACTAGTGGAAACACATGAACTATGAACCAATAGCTGAGAAGCCCCCATGGAACTGGATCAGGCCCTCTGGATAAGTGAGACAGTTGATGAGCTTGAACTGTTTGGGAGGCTCCCACACAGCTGGAACTGGGACCTGTCCTTAGTGCATGGGCTGGCTTTTTGGAGCCTGGGGCCTATGCTGAGACGTTTTTATCAGCCTTGGTGTAAGGAGCAGGGGACTGGACCTGCCTCAACTGAATCTACCAGGCCGAGTTGACTCCCCAGGGGAGACCTTGCCTTGGAGGAAGTGGGAATGGGGGGAGTATGGGAGGGGAAGGCTGGGGGTGGGAGGAAGGAGGACAGGGGAATCTGTGGCTGATATGTAAAATTAAATTAATTATAAAGTAAAAAAAAATGTATATATAAAAAAAAGTAGTGAGAAAGGGAGCATAGGGTTTCAGAAAGTAGGGGACTAAAAAGGTGTTGTGTGTCAGGGAGTAATAGGAGAGGCAGGAATTCAATGGTCACATGGCCAGGTGTTTTGTGAAGTGAAATTGGAGAGGATGGAGTTGCCAAGGTGGTGGATTTTTCTTAGAGAGGTGTTCAGAAGTGCTTAATCCAGTTCCCTAAGATGGTAGTCTTTGAGAGTTGAAGAGGTAGTAGTGTATCCCTGGCAGATCCTGGGCACCTGCACTTATTGTTTACTTCTGCTAATGAATAGGGAAGGTCTGCACACACACAGAATCTTGGAAGAATTCCATCTAGGGATTATTATATAGTTTTGAGACTATTATCATATGGTAATATTTATTAAAATTATAAACAAAACAGAAAATAATATCCACTCACATCAAATAGTTCTTTTATTGCTTACATACAGCTGAATGTTGTCATATACATGATCATTCATCTAGACATAATGTTTACTTCCTTTCATGGAAATACTTATCTACCATCGTATCAGCATGCCAGTAGTAATCAGGAATATGAAGGCTAGTTCATGCTAGCTAGCATGACAAACTAAGATAGTATAAGTCAGAGTACTCTTTTTCAGCTTATAAATAAAAATTAGTGGAACACTGATGTAATCCTAACATGTGGAAGGCCAAAGCAGGTATATCATGTTCAAGGCTACTGCGAGCTACATAATGAATGTCAAGTCACCCTGGGCTGTATGTATAAGTATATGTATGTTTGCATGTGTATACAGGAAGAAAGAGAGAGGGGGAGAGGGGCGGGAGGGGAGAAGAGAAGAGAGGAGATTCTGGACAGCAACAAAGACCAGTTAATTCACATGAATAATTCAGCATAACCCACAGTGATTCCTTTTACTTTTGCTTTTCATTTCTCTGGTTTTTGTTTGGTTGGTTGGTTAGTTGGCTGGTTTTTCGGAAGCAGCATCTTCTTATTCAGTCAGACCAGCTGTGAACTTGAGCCTCCTTTGTCAGTCACCTCAGTGTTGGGATTATCAAACTGTCACCAAGCCTGCTCACTGTGATAATTTAATCATCACATTAAAGTCAGAAAAATCAACTAAATATGAATACTGTGAATCCTGATATGTTGAAACCATAGATCTTCCACAATTGTTAACATTAATACTGTTTAGCATCCTGAGTCTATGTTTTTAACTTCCTCTCTCCTCAAGAACAAATTCCATATACATTGTTAATAAATCAGTCATTTCTTAAGGAAGCTCAAACATTTCACATATCAGTGAACTTTCAGAGGCAGAAATATAGATCACAGGAAAAGGACTTTTCCTTTTCCTTCTATTCTCTGTTATTTTAAATACCATGTGCATATATATATATATATATATATATATATATATATATAATCATGTTTTATCACTGAATCGTATGTTAAAGTCTTTTTTCTAGATTTAAAAACCTCTATCACTGTTGATCACTGATTAGTGTTATTTTCTGTAAATGGACCAGTTTATTTAATTGGATTATTGCTGTTACCAAAAATTTTAAACTGGAAAAGGTTGCTTTACCTTTTTGCATTAAATCTAATTTTATAGTACTGTTATTAAAAATAATTTTCAATCCATATGTTCTACAATAACATTTTAGTATTTTCTAATTTTATCCTTTTATCTCAAAATTGCCAGTCAGCTGTACCTCAGATTTATCTATTTAAGCCTTGCTTTTAATATCATCTCAATAGCACCGATATATAAAATTTACACATGGCAGTCTTAACATATTTGAATAATGGATTTGCTGTACCTTGTGCTTTTAATTATTCTTTTCTAAATTCGATTGTAAGCCATTACTAAAGCAAATTTCAAGTTGGTTTTAATTCTGTACCTTCAAAGCAACTACTACATTGGTGAATATATAGTATGTGACCATTATATTAGTATTAAGTGTTGATTTAAATGAATGATTTACATTATTGTATTCAAGATTGTGAATGCATACCTTTTTATGAGCTTAACACTAGAATAAGTGCTATAAAGGTAAAACAGAGTATATGACATCTGATCATGTCTCTCCCGCTTATAAATCTAGCTATGAAAATTAAATCACATGAGTGGTTAAACAAGATTTTCATTCCAAAATATAATCTATGATTAAGAGAGAATGAAGAAAAAGCAAATCAGTGACTTAAGTACTGAAAAATGTGTATGTACTCTTGAGCCTTAAAATATATTCTGAGCCATTTTTAAGCAGGAGAAATATACTGAGTAACAAGGAAAGATGTGAAAACTTGGGGTTTATGCATAAAATTTGAGAGAAAGTTAAACTCCCAAATGCTGAGGCCAAAAAACAAATCACCATGAATGCCAAACAAAGGAGTCTATACTTCTTAATATAGCCAATTACTAAGCACTTACGTGAATTGTGCTTTTCATGCATAGTGGACATCTATTTTGTGATAGATTGTTGGACAAATTTTCTTATAACAGTCCAATGGCTCATGAGCAGAGGCTTACCCTACTGTCGCAATATACCAAGTAATTAAGTTGACAATAAATGAAGTTCTAGTGTATTTCAGATTTGACATTATGATTCTTTTATTTATTAAAAACTGATGATGTCCTCTACATGATTGTTTCATGTAGACATACTTAACTTCCTTCCATGGAGACACTATCTTATCAGATAAAAGGCAGAGAGAGGAAAATTAGCAAAAGCTGCTATCTAGCAATTAACAAAGTGAATGATGTATTAATATTTAGAAATTGGTTGCTAAAAGAATACCATAAACCTGAAATTTTAGTGCACTAATGTGATTTGTTGTGTGGCAGTAATAATTTTAAATTAGGCAAATTAAGTGGACAATTTATATACAAATTATGATGTGATTAAATGACAAAATAGCTTACTAAAAATAAGTATTTTCTTTTACAAAGAAATTCTGTGTGAGAATAAAGGTTAATACATGAGGAAATAGCTTGCTCTTTTCCTAGGGGAGCTGAACTGTATTAGAAAAGAACATAGGTGTGCAGGTATGAAAAATGACCTATGCAGTTCTGTTATAATGTTTAACACACACACACACACACACACACACACACAAACACACACACACACACACACACACACACACACACACACACACACACAACCTGCCATATAAAAACCCTGCCTCATTGTAGAAGCAAAGAACCAATTCCCAGAAGTTGTTCTGTGATCTCCACATATAGTGTGACACACATGCACATGTGTGCACATTACATACCTATCTCTCAACTCCCACAGACAATAAATACATAAATCATTAAAAACATGAATTAAGAAATATACCTATGATTATCACCAGATAAAAGAGATGGTTTATAACTAGGTCTTACTCTGGACAGTGAAGTATTGTTGGAAGTAGAAAATTAGATATGGCTGGAGACATGGCTTATCAGATAAGAGCACTGGCTTCTCTTCCAGAGGATGTGGGTTCAATTCCAAATGCTCATATGGTGTAACTCCAGTTCCAGCCTCTGCAGGTACTACACACATGTGGTACACACACATACATGTGAGCTAAATATTTAAACACATAAAACAAATAATGTTTTAGAAGAACACATAGAATTAGAGAACATATGAAATGTATTTTTAGGATGATTTTTTCAAAGAACTGCATACAGTATATGTAAAAACCTAGGGAACAACTTGGAAGCTTCAGTAACCATAGTGGTCAACTAGTTTAAAAATTTGTGTAATTTTATTCATAGCTAATATTTACTCCAAATTAAAAAGAAAGGTAGAGACACTCTCATGATGTCAGATAATGAAATAGTAATGATTGGAGTTTCTGGTTACTTGAAATCAGAGAACACTTCATTAACAGATAATGCTTATAAGAGCAGCACATTCAATATAATGATTTAAAATTGTTTATAACTGTCTTAAGATATTCATTTAAGAAGTAATATAATCAGAGAGATTTATGACTCTTTTTCCTGTTTCTTTCTCAACAATTAAGAGTTTTTTATGAGACTTGAAACAGTTAATGATTTATGAGACAACTTTCTTATTTAGTACTTGTATTCAATCATGGTGCACTCGCCCTTCTTCCTTCATTACTGAGTTAAAGAACAATAATGTATAAAGTAACTTCACATTGAATGCATTAATACTAGATTGCTGAAGCATTGCTATTCTCTACATGCAAGAATATAATTTAAGAGAAAAGCCTGCCAGAGGACAGAATAAGTGATCCAAAGACTCCAGTTGTCATCTAATAAAAAATATGACTTTCAGTTACAAGGAAAATTTTACCTATTCCCTAATTTTAAAGATGTGGCACACTTGTAAAATATACCAAATACAGATCAATTAAGTCCATTAGCCTTAATGCTGGATCATACATATTTAACTGAGATGAGAATTTCTACATATCCTTGCAAAAAGCATAATAGAGAATACTTATTGGTATGCAATTTACATAAACCATCAACATTTATTTTGAAATTAATTAATTAATTTTTGTGTATGGGTGTTTTGCTTGCATGTATGCCTATGTACCACATGTATGCCTGGTACCCACAGAAGCCATAAGAGGCATGAGATACATTGGAACTGGAGTTACAAATGTTGTGAAGCATCATGTGGAATCTGGCAACAGAACCCAGGTTCTCTGGAAAAGCAACAAGTGCTTTTCACCACTGAGCCATCTCTCTAGACTCCATTATTTTATTTCTTATGTAGTTACCAAATGGTACAATTTCTATATTTATTTACTTTTTGGATAAGAAAACTACTTTGGAGAAATGTGACTTATCTAGGGCCATAAAAGCAATAATATGGTAAGAATTAAATCCTGGCACTTTGTCTCCAGAGCTGTTCTAATGTGAAACTCACAGGGATATGGATCATTATAATGCACCTTTCTAAGTGAAAATCTTACACAGGACTAAGAAATTTGATTCCATATAACAATTAGTATTAACAAATTGTAGAAAATAGTTCCAATATTCAAAATAAAATTATATTTAACTGTGTAAATCTCAAAAGAGTTTCACATTTTTTATAGGAAGCCTCATTTGCTCAAAGGAAAGGGCCCTTCTGTTCCTAGGGATAATTACGTGCAAAAGTTTGGGGGGTATTTTTCACTTAATTTTGAATAAAATACTTTGGTATTACCTTTGAATGTATTAGAATTAATGAAACCTATCTTTTTCTCTAGGTAACTTTGTTTTGGTCTCCCTTGTTGGATCACTATACAACTTTTGTATAAATCTGAGAAACTTGAGGACTGCTGCTCCTAAAGCTGAAGGTAAATAAAAGGTATGAATGCAATAAAAGAGTGGCCATGACTGTAACATAATAATTTCAGTTCTAGTTCCAGGAGTCCACTTTTGTTTATTAAACTTAATTCTTTAATAGAACATATAGCCGGGCAGTGGTGGCACACGCCTTTAATCCCATCTCTCAGGAGGCAAAGCCAGGTGGATCTTTGTGAGTTCGAGGCCAGCCTAGTCTACAGAGTGAGATTCAGGACAGGCACCAAAACTACACAGAGAAACCCTGTCTCAAAAAACAAACAAAAAAAAATAGAACATACAATGCCAAACCATCTGTTTTTATATCAAGGTTGTTTTAATAATAAAATATAGGACTTTGAGAAGTTAGAATATCAAGGAACCCCTTATTGTGTTAACTAAAATGTTACAGTTAAAGGAATGCATTTAATCAAATACTACAGTAAAAATGATGAAGTTGGATATTATTGTTCAATCACAGCTATGACCACTTTCCACATAATGTTGATAATAAGTATTCACTATTAGTGCACTTGAAAGCTGGATTTATTCTATGATCTACTTCTAAACCGAAATCCTAATAACAATTATCTATTAGATACATAATAATAAAAATAAGTATAGTAACCCCCAAATTTTGTAGTGATGAGTACACAGAACCACCTAGAATGTCCATCCAAAGTTCACTCAGTGGACATTAGATTGAACTGGATAGCTCTCAAATACCGCCCACTTCTAAGGACAACTGATAACTCTGAAGTTCATATAATCAACAGAAAAACTTACTCTGCTGGGTGTGGTGGCACATGCCTTTAATCCCAGAACTTGGAAGGCAGAGGGAAGTGGATCTCTCTGAATTTCAGGCCAGTTTTGTCTACATAGAGTTTCAGGACAGCCAGGGCTACATAGACACCTTTTCTAAGAGAGAGAGAGAGAGAGAGAGAGAGAGAGAGAGAGAGAGAGAGAGAGAGGGAGGGAGGGAGGGAGGGAGGGAGGGAGGGAGGGGAGGGAGGGAGGGAGGGAGGGAGGGAGGGAGGGAGGGAGGAACTCCAAAAAAAAAAAAGCTAAATTTTAGTCATAGACGAAGTTAAAAAAAAAAAGAGGTCATCAATATCAAGAACAGAAGCTATTATTTCACAAATTTGGTGCTATTATATTTTAAGATATAGGTAATTGCAAACAAATTTAATTTTACATCTTTATAATGGAATAAAAAATATACAAAGCCTTGAGATCCTGTAAATTTGTATTAGATAAGATAGACCGTGTAGCCTAGAAGTAGGAAATTTTCACGATGAATGGGGACAAATTATAATGGGCAAATATTAAATGAATATTTATTTTTATTTAAAGTTACTTTATTATTATTTGTATGTTTCTTGTTTTGTTTTTGCCTGAATGTGTGTCTTTGCACCATATGTGTGTTTGGTGCCTGTAGAGATTAGAAGAGAACACAGATACCAAGGACTGCTGTTGCAGAATTTTGTGAGCATTTATGTGGGTGCTAGGAATCAAACTTGGGTCCTCTGGAAGAGCAGCCAGTGTTCTGAAACACTGAGACGGGCTGGAGAGATGGCTCAGTGGTAAAGAGCACTGGCTGCTCTTGCAGAGGACCCAGGTTCAATTCCCAGCACCCACATGGCACCTCACAACTGTCTGTACTCCAGTTCCAGAGCATCTGTCACCCTCACACAGATATACATACAGATAAAACACCGATGCACATAAAATAAATAAACTATTAGGGGCTGGGGAGATGGTCTCAGCAGTTAAAAACACTGACTGCTCTCCCAGAGGACCTGGGTTCAATTCTCAGCACCCACATGCCAGTTCACAACTGTCTGTAATGCCAGTGCCAGGGGATCTGACACCTTCACACCAATGTACATAAAATAAATTAAAAAAAACCACTTGGCCATTTCTCTAGTCTCAGATATTTTATTGTAAATGTGATTTTGGGGGGTGTTGAAATGAAAGAGGACATTCGATAAGTAAATATTAGACAGGCTAACTGTTTAATGACCTATAACTGTCTGGATCAAATAATGTTATAAATCAAGAGATTCTCACCATACATTGTATTTCTACCCTCAGTCAAATTACAGTTTGAAAGGATTTGTCTGTATATAGACAATTAGTGTATGTACAGGAGAAATTGCAAAGTGTTTAAAATCATAACAAGAAAGGTTTTGTACACAAATTAATGATAACAGACAAAATGCAAAATAGCAAATATCTCTATTTTATGATCCATTATTAACACTCTTTCAAAGATGGAGACAGATGCAGGAAAGTGAAATGAACTGTCCAATATTTAGAAGAGTTAGTAAAGGAAGAAAACAGAATCCAGCTCTGGGAACTATTTTTATGGAAATAAAATGTTTTTGTTGTAAATCTCTCTACTTTAACTCAAAGAAAAGTTTCTGTGTACTATATAATATATAATATATATATTATTCTGTAAGAAAATGAACAATGGAAAACATGCTGGTTTTTACTTGTAATAATTCACTTAAAAAATAGAATGTAACCACATTGTAAAACCAGAAAAAAAAATGAACAAGTTTGAATAGTAATGCATATGTATTTGTTTCTATCTGCAAGGATATCCGCACTACCATGAGACTATTTTTCCTTCAACAAAGCATAAAATGAAATTAACTATGTTTCTTTTATTCTGCCTTGAAGTTGACAGATAATATCAAGCCATTATGCTACTTCTATCCACATAAATAGTAATTTTTGAATAAGTTATTGGGGTTAAATACATATTAACACTATTCACTACTTAAATTCTTTGACATTTTCCTGTCTTCAATAAATTATATAAAATACAAATAAACTTATAATTTAAAATATACAATTTATTGGAATTATACTGAGAACACTTTAGATGGGTATTGTGAGAAAAAAATTTGAATACCCCTGTAAAAGTATCCCTCTGTGATATGATGTTACATCCTTTAACAGTGTATGCAGTTTTAATTTGAAAATTATCATTAGTAAAATTAAAAATAAATAAACAAAATAGACAAATGGGATTATAATAATCTGAAAAGCTATGATCGGCAAAAGAAACAATCAACACTGTAAAGAGTAAAACTGTAGAATGGAAAAATACGTTTGCAAACCATTGATCTCGTAAGTGACTAATACTCCAAATAGATAAAGCATTCAAGGAATCAAAAAAAAAACTAGTTGAAAAATGAATAAAGGAACTAAATACACATTTTCAGTGTAAAACATTCAAAGACAACAGATACATGAAAAACAATGTTGTATTTTATTTATCATTAAGGAATAAAAAATTAAAACCACAATGAAATATCATTTCACTCCTGTTGAAATGGTTATCATGAAAAAGAAAGACTACTAATCATTGTTAAGGATGTGGAGCAAAGGGAAACCTTTAACACTCTTGAAACAAGTACAAATTAATAAGCCATTACAAAAATGAGTATGCTGAAGAAACAATATCATCATGTCAGGAAAATAGCTGCTGCCTGTGTTCCCCATACCATTATTTGAAATGAGCAAGATATAGAATCATTCTAAGTGACTATAAACATAAGAAAAAATTTGAAATGCATATAAAGTTAAGAGTAGTTAGCATTTAAAAAAACAAAAAAACACTAGAGATCTTGTCATTTGTGAAAACACAGATGAGTATGGAGGACATTATGTAAGAGAAGTAACAGAAACATGCACCAAAAGCAGGCACAGAAACATGGACAGATGTTCTAGCAGTCTATGACCTAGCTAGCTAAAATGCTTATGTGCACATATATGCACACATATGTGTCATGTTATGTGCTATACACACAATTTTACTTGACAATTCTTTTAAATTATATCAATTATTCAAATCATTGATTTTTCTTTATCTGCTATTGCATTAACTATAACTTTAGTTTGTACACTTCACTGCACATTGACTAAAATGTAATTAATTCACAGGCAATTACTTTTAAAAAATCAAAACCCATGTCTATACACATTCTGTTCCTTTGTATATTTTACAAAGGAATGAGAATGAAGTATAACATACTGAAAATAATTTTGTGAAATAACGAACTATAGTTTTAATATTACTTTTCCATCACAATCTATATCATCTTAAAATTATTTGTATTTTAATTGTAGTAAACAGGTGTTTCTGCTGTAAGAAGGACAAAGGCATTATTTATGCTCCTGAAAAGTGCTAAATACTATTTCTATAGTTATACTGTATATATCTATACACTGACAACTCCATAAAATCAACTTCTCTTTTTGTTTTTACTTGTTCTCTATATTTATTCTGCTGTTGTGTATTCCTATATCTCAAAACTTTGGAGTAGAACTGAAAGATCAATGATGAAATTTTTGTAGCTTAATTGTATTGTAATGAAATTCTGTTATTCCACACTGTGGTTCTTATTCCCTACTGAATATATCTAATAAATGCATGCCTACCAATTAGGAGATTAAAACCAGTAGACACTGGAACATAATGGACTATCATAAACCAACACATATACAGTCAATTAATGTTTGACAACTGTGCAAAGTCAAATAAGTGAAGAAATGAAAGTCTCCTGACATTGAACCAACTGTATATCTTTATGAAAAATATTATATTGACTTCAACCCACATATTTCTGTCATACACCAAAACATCAGCTTTAGTATCACACTGAAAAGCATTAAATTTCTAGAAAAAATATGAAAAAGAAAAATATCTGTGAGTTTGGATGACACATGGTACCTGGAAGAAAATATTACATGGACTTCATAAATGTAAAAAAAAAACGTTCTGCTTTTTGAAAATTATGAAGGACAGTGTTGAGAGAGGATAAAATAAGTTCAGACTGGATTTGCTAATGTTTTAGTTGATGAAGGATTCATGCGAAAAGTATAAAAGACCACTCAAAGAATAACGGCAATGCAAATAACATGCATTTTTAGAAAGGGAAAATATGAGTACACACTTCATAGAACATATGTGATTGGCAAATCACCATATGAAAAGATGGTCAACATCAGTAGTCATTAGGGAAACGCAAATAAAACCACAAGACTATGCTACCACTTATCTATTAGGATGGTTACATTTAAAAACACTGACCATAACAAATATTTTTACTGTTGGTAGAGCTGAAAATAACAACTTATTTGAGAAATAGGTAATTTCTTTTAAAGGCAAACATGTACCTACCATGTGATCCAGCCATTCCACTTCTAGGAATGTTTTCTAAAAGAAATGAAAACATATGTCCATTCAGATACTTGTACACAAAGGGATCATAGCAAGTATATTCAAAAACTCAAAATCATGCAAATGAATGAGAATAAATTATTGTACTTACAGAACATATCACTACTCAGTTAAAAATAGGGAAAACACTCTTGGTACATACAAAGTGGATAAATTTCAAAACATTTGTGCTAGAGAAAGAATACAGGCAAAAAGTTGTGAATATCCAAAGATATTGTTTATTTAAAATTGTAAAAAATGAAAATTGATCTATAGGAACATAAAACAGATTAGTGGTTGCCAATGGACAGAGGGAGAAATCACAGATGCATAGATATATGAGAAAACTTTTGGTATGACAAAAAAGTCCATTATCTTAGTGGCAGAGATGATGTCATATTGTAGAGATTTATTAAAGTTTGTTGTGTATATTATATTTTAATAGTTTTTTAAAATAGGGAATGTGAGTTTAGTCAGATAAAACTGTCAAGATGATCCTTCATCCCCAACTGACACACCAATTAGGAAAAAAAAATGAACTAGTGTCTGTAGCATGGCTCATTGGGTAAAGATGCTTGCTATGCCAACTGAGACACATGGTAGAAAGAGAGAAGCAACTCCCAAATTTGTCCTCTGACTTCCATATGCACTCCTGGGTAGTACACACACAGACACACAGACACACACACACACACACACACACACACACACACACACACACACACACACACAATTTACACAATTTTAATTTAAAAGCTTAAAAGAATTAAGCTGCTTATGCATAGCTTCATAGATATTTGTAACTGAATACAACACTGCCATATTTGTCAGTGTGTGTGTGTGTGTGTGTGTGTGTGTGTGTGTGTGTGTGCACGTGCTCGTGCACATGTGTGAGAGAGAGATAACAATACAAGGGACTATGTATATGTTTATATCAGGAAAGCTCTAAACAGTTCTCAAAAAGCTATGTATGGCCTGAGTAACAAATTTTGTGACAAATATTATCTCCTGTAAAGAATGAGAATTTAGTATCTGCTAAAACATCACAAAATAATAGAATCGACACAGCATTCATTGGGCAAGAAGTTTATACATTATCTTTTGATGAAAAGCAGGCACATAATGTACTGGAACTAAATCATGTAAATATACTTACAGTAGAAAATATATGCTGTATATGGTGTAACATAAATTGCTTACATGAAGAAATGCCTATGGCTTTAAAATATATATATATGTATATATAATGTTATATAATATAAATAATAGACAAAAAATGTCACATAATAACTAAAGAAGAAGATATACACATTAAAGTATACTATGAATGGAAACTGTCATCTAATTTCAAAACTCACAGTTTATTGAAAAAATTCAAAAAATCATAAAAATTCATATTTTGTATGAGTTATTCATGGGTTTCTTTCTCATTTCTTATCAAAGAATTTCCAATATAAGTTTGTGAATATGAATTTATAATTTAAAGAGATAATTTTAAATTTAATCCTACAATAGAGTATTATATGGTATATTAGAGCAGTGATATTTTCTAAAATATTCATGGTTGCCTTAATTCAAGGCCCAAGTCACTTTACTTTTTGGATTTCAACACTGATTAATTCTTTTTTTCATTCCATTGGCGATAAGACGATAACAAATAATTGCTGAATAGAAAATAAAACTATGAAAAGATATTGAATCTTACTGCTAATCTATGAAATGGATGTTTATAGCATTGAGAAAATATTTAGGAAATATTAGTTAAACTGAGATTAGTAATAGTCTCTTGCAATATCTTGAGTTACATTTGATTTATTATTTGTATTTAATATACCAATTTATTTCAATCAGTTCATATAATTTCAAAAAATATAAATTGACCTGAAAAGTCCCTTACTGTTGAAGCAGATCTGCAATACACAGAAAGTTTTGAGGCCACTTGGGACTCTAAAAACAACAAAGATTTGCCCCATTCCATTATTTGCTGAAAATTTGTGTCCAATAAATCAAAAAAGAGAATGTAGAAATAGATCTAATCAATTCAACTTACATGGTAAATAAGTGGATTCAATATGAACAGAAGGAGAGACTACTAAATAAATATTTCACAAAGAAACAGGTAGCTACAAAAATAAAAATTTAAAATACCTATGGTTATAGGCATATCTCAGTGATAAAGCACCCTAACATGTGTGATTCCTGTATTCCAGACCCACCTCAGAAAAATAAACAAACAAATCTAGATCTTAACTCATAACTGACTCAAAAATAGTTAACATGTAAATTACACCATTAAAACAATATAAAATATAAGTACCTTTATTTAAAATATGTCTATTATTATAAGTACAGATAAGTGGTAGTACAATTTTTATCATGCAAGACCTCTGATTTGAATTATTGTTGACACAGTGTATGTTTACATTAAAATTACAAAACAAGAAGTGAAAGGTAAACACGTTCTATTTAGCATTATATTGTCATCCATTACTAGTGTGCCTGTCACAGGAAAGACACGGGCATTATTGGTTGAATGTTGGAATGGATGACTCTTATGTACTTTAAATTATAAGAACCTTCATGGACATTTGTGATAGGCACAAAATAACCATAAGACTTAGTTCATACTCCAATTTCCAGGAATTTATCCTATGTTAATGTTCTGAAGTGCATACTAATGCATGCTATAATTATTCAGGATATATATCTTCCCCACAACAGGACTCAGGTTAAATATGTCAAGGCAATTATTATAATGGAATATAGATCTATTTAAAAATAAGGAATTGATTATTTCCTATGAAACCATAGCCATAAATCAGCCAATTACAAACCATCATATGATGTCACACAGACAAAACAGTAGACATAAAGATGCAGGTGTATACAAGCATAAGGAAACTTCTAGAAGGAAATGCATAAAATGTTAAAAATGGTTATCATTTGGTTGTTAAAATTAAATGTTGACTATCATCAGAATCTTCTATACTGAATTTTAATCTTTAAAATGTACATATAATTTGACAGTTACAGATAAATACAAATTTATTTTCAAACTAAATGCATTTCTTAACTTAAAAATGTTACTAAATGAAAAGCACAAACTCTATAATGAAAAGTACTACGCAAAGGCTAGTCTCATTTTAATACATTTCTTAATTTGAAATTAATAATGGAGTATATTTTATATTTTAACATAGCACTTATAGTCTATGACCAAGTTTAGAGAGTGAATGTGGCTAAGTAGGTTATTTTCTCATTTGTATGCCAAGTCACCTCTGTGGATTTTTTTGCTTGTCTGGAAATATAAAGATATCTTCCAATCAAATCTTTAACAGATTATAGCCTGTGAATTTTTATTAAGTACAGATGGACAATTCTGGTCATTCATAAAAAAGGGGCTAATATGTCCTTACCTTTCAATGAAAAGTAAACACTGGTCTTTTTGGTTGTAGCAGAACTGAATCCTGTAAATAAAAATAGCAAATATCTGTTTTTAAACTTCATTTAGCAAAAGTTTGTTTACATATTACTGGACTTGTAAATCATTCTTTAATATGGATACAATTCAAAATTAGAAGGAAATTGGTAGCAGATGACACCTTAAACACTTACAGATGATGCACTTACAGATGATGCACTTGCGTTAGAACAAATCCCCCCTCCCATCCTGCTGTTCGTGGAATTGAAACCTGCTGCACAAAAGTCTGAAACAAATCCTCCGCTTTTAAAAAATATTACCTTACGTTTGAATACCCTTTTGTTTTATCTAAAATTTTGCTACAAGCATTGAAAAGGACTACGTGGCAATTTAGCAATAAGATTAGAGTACATTTTATGCCATCTTTAAAACAGAAATACGATTAAAAAAATGGTGTAACTGACTCACGGCAACATGGGTTCGCAAACCTTGTAGATGGATATAAACCAGGCTTGCCAAACATCACAGACAGCACTTATTAAATCTGCTACGTGGAATGCAATATGCCTGCTGTCTAGCCCCTCCCCCCTCTGCCAATAAACGACTCCCCCTTTTCCAGTGTGAAAACACATGCTCATAGAATATTTAGAGAAAATCATGTTTGTTTGCGTGTTTTCCCCACGTCAGTCATCCACAGTCACACTATCCAATGACGCCACTTAGAGCGTTTTCACTTTTTTTTTTTCTTTCCATTAACAGTTTGCGGTGCGGAAGCCCTGATGAACCAAATGGGAATTCAGAATGGGCAGTTGAGCTAAAGGGAGCGTTCTCTTCCGTTGCTAGGAACTATAGCTGGCGTTTTTAGCCTCATATCTACGCTTTCCCCCCACCCCCCTCTCTCCCTTTGAATTAAAAACCACATAGGGAGAGAATTTGGGGAGGGGGGAGTGACCCGACTTTCGGGGGTTTGTGCCTCAGCCACCAAGGCTCATCTGGGAAGGTGGGAGGAGCCGCGAGGAAGAGCGGCTGCCTTCGGCCATTTATTGGCTGTAACGCTAGTCGATCAAGGCTGTCCAACAAATGAGGAGCGAACTAACGGCATCCTGGGAACGAAATTAACGGGAGGGGTATCAGCAAGGGGAGGGGCTCGCCATCCTAACCCAGAAGACCATTCTGTATTCGGTACTTGCGCCATTCGACTGCGGCACGTCTCGGCCTCTGTCTATTGCGGCCTAAACAGGCCTTGTCGCCAAGGCTCCCGGCCGGCTTCCGCTACCGCGGCTTCCTGCGCGCGGCTGCCGTGGCCCCGCCCCAGCCGCACCACCGCCGCAGCCGCTGCAGTCCCTGCTGCTGTGGGTCGCCTGCCGCAGCCACCTCCACCACCGCCACCGCGACCGCCGCCGCCGCCGCCGCCGCACCCGGCTGGGCCTTCGCAGTCGTCTCCAGAGCATCCGTGAGTCATTTCCTGCCCATCTCTGGGTGAGCGATCTCTGTTGTCACCACTTTAAAGAGGTGTACGGGGCTAGCAGCATGGCAGAAGCGGATCCTAAAATGGTCACAGAACCTGCCGCCCATGGGGTTGCTGAAGAGGCGATGGCTAGCTCAGCTAGTGATTCTGGGGAAGAATCTGACAGCAATAGCTCTAGCAGTACCTCTAGTTGCAGCAGCAGCAGCAGCAGCAGCGGCAGCAGCAGCAGCAGTAGCAGCAGCAGCAGCAGCAGTAGCAGCAGCGGCAGCAGTAGCAGTGGGAGCAGCAGCCGTGGCAGTCAAGTATACCGAAAGAAGAGGGTACCTCAGCCTCCCAGAAGGGCCCAGCGGCCTCCCTCCGGGAAACATTTCCTGGATAACCTGCCTCAGGCAGTGAGAAATCGGGTGCAGGCACTCCGAAATATTCAGGATGAGTGTAACAAGGTAGACACCTTGTTCTTAAGGGCAATTCATGATCTTGAAAGAAAATATGCTGAGCTCAATAAGCCTCTATATGATAAGCGTTTTCAGATCATAAATGCAGAATATGAGCCTACAGAAGAAGAATGTGAGTGGAATTCAGAAGAAGAGTTCAGCGGTGATGAGGAAATGCAGGATGACACACCTGATGAAATGCCTCCCTTAGAGGGTGAGGAAGAAGAAGAAAGCTGTAAAGAAGAAGCTGGAGTAAAGGAAGAAGAAAAGGATGTTCCAAAAGAAGTACCTGAGGCAAAAGTTGAAGAAGACAAAGCTCCCAAAGAAATTCCTGAGGTGAAAACTGAAGAAGAAGAAATTCCAAAAGAAGTTCCTGAAGAAAAAGTTGAAGCAAAGGAGGCCTCTGAAGAAATTCCTGAGGTAAAGATGGAAGAAAAGGAAGCCTCTGAAGAAATTCCTGAGGTAAAGATGGAAGAAAAGGAAGCCTCTGAAGAAATTCCTGAGGTGAAGATGGAAGAAAAGGAAGCCTCTGAAGAAATTCCTGAGGTGAAGATGGAAGAAAAGGAAGCCTCTGAAGAAATTCCTGAGGTAAAGGTTGACGAAAAGGCAGACTCTACAGATTGTATAGAGATAACTCCTGCAGAAAAAGAAGACCCCAAAGACGTTCCCCAGGCAAATGCAGAAAATAAGGATCAGCCCACAGAAGAATCTAAAGCAAGGGCTCCAGTAAGAGAGGCTCAAAAAAGGGTTCCTGAGACAAGGCCTGAAGGAGGGAAAGTTAAAAGAGCTCGAAAGGGAAAACCTAAGAGAGAAGATCCTAAAGGTATTCCTGACTATTGGCTGACTGTTTTAAAGAATGTTGATAAGCTTGGGCCTATGATTCAGAAGTGTGATGAGCCCATTTTGAAGTTCTTGTCAGATGTTAGCCTGAAGTTCTCAAATCCTGGCCAGCCTGTAAGTTACACTTTTGAATTTCATTTCCTGCCTAACCCATACTTCAGAAATGAGCTCCTGATGAAGACATACATAATAAGGTCAAAACCAGATCACTATGACCCTTTCTTTGCTTGGGGATGGGAAATTGAAGAGTGCAAAGGCTGCAAAATAGACTGGAGACGAGGAAAAGATGTTACAGTGACAACCACCCGGAGTCGCCCAGCTGCTACTGGAGAAATTGAAGTCCAGCCAAGAGTGGTTCCTAATGCATCCTTCTTCAATTTCTTTAGTCCTCCTGAGATTCCTTTGATTGGGAAGCTGGAACCAAAAGAAGATGCTATCCTTGATGAGGACTTTGAAATTGGTCAAATCTTGCATGATAATGTCGTCTTGAAATCAATCTATTACTTCACAGGAGAAATCAATGATCCCTACTACCATGATGTCAGGGATTATGGAAACAGGAAGTACTACAAGTGAAAAAGGCAAGCTAAAAGATTTTTCAAGAATGTTAAAAAGTCAAGCAAGCAGAAGTGAAACAGATTCACCTAACCTTGTAAAAGATAAAACTTGCCCTATTACCTGAACACTATTACTCCTTATAGTCTGGTGTTTTCATTTTTCCTGGTAATGTCCTAAAAAGTGTCTTAAGCATCTGTTTATTCTACCTTGCCTGTTGTATTGTAATATTCTTCAAAATATGTAAACTGCTGTTAATTTTCCAAAGCATGGGTTTTTTTTGGTGCTACAGTGTTGGTTTTGTGAAGTCCTTTTGTCATGTTCCTAGTAGATTGTACCTGTGCAAATTGTCAGACTTGTTAGACAAATCTTTGCCTGAAAAAGCAAAACTTTAAATGCCAATGTATAAGTGTTTTCTCTTTCTTTTTTCAGCCCAGAAATTTAAGGACTTAAATCTGCTTGCACTAGTCGTGCCTTCATTACTTTGCCATAGAAATGTAGTAATAATACTAACTAAAACATTCTGTTGTGAAGTGTAGTTGCTCGAGAAAAAAAGAGAATATATTTAAAAATATCTGTCAGTGCCACATTAGAGTTTTGTGGGTTTGTTTGTGATGTATTGGTCTATAAACAAAAGTATTATTTACCACTAAGGTGTTAAATATGGTATAGTATTTTAAGAAGTTGCATCATTGTATATTGTGTAATTGAAAACTAAAGAAACTATTTTATTTGTAATGTGTTCTGCTTTGCCTTTCGTTGAAAATTAATACATTATTTGATACTTTTTCATGTTCTTTTATTGCACCCTAAAATAAATAAATGTCAAATAAATTGCCATGCTATAAAAACGTGCCATTTTCTCTTAATTATAAAAATGTGTTTATCATAAAAAGAATAGATTAATGAGTTTATGACTGTTCAATAAATATATGACTATTAACATTCTGATATATTTCCTAGATCATAATTCTTCAACTGGAGGATACCAATGGAGATATTGGAGAGGAATGGGACAGGAGAAGGAGGAGATCATGGGAGGTAGAAGAGGAAAGTGGAAGTAGATAAAGGGTGAGAAAGAAGTATATGGGGAAGAAGAGGGAGAAATCTGTGTATAGGGAAGGGGAAGGGAATGAAGTAGGGGAGGGAACAATTGGGAGGGGAGGAGGAGAGTATCTTACTCAGAAAGATATGAGCTGCTGGTTTCAAATGTCCAGGGCCTACCCTGTCCTTTGATCTGCAGGAGGTCACAATATCATGACTTTTGTTTTTTTTATAGGTGACATCATTTTTCATCTGTACATCACAGCTGGTCCCAAGGTAATCACATCCTAAAATTTGGGGTTGAGTCTAGCCAGAGGACTAGGCTCCTTAAATTCAGTTTTACTAAAGTGCTCTGTACTGGGTATTAAGACTATAAAGACATAATAAGCACTAGAAGTAATAAAGTACCGTATTTCACATTACTATTTCTCCATACAGATGTTTTCCATCAAGATGATATGAAATAACTGTGACAGCAAAAAGACAGGATTACAAGATTTCTGGGTCTTTGAGCATAAAATTTGGAAATAATCATCCCAGATCCCACCATGTTTCTGTGTATTTACCTTTTCGTTATGAAAAACAGAAAAGCTGCTAAACTTTAGTAAGAGTTCTAAGAAGGATGTTGCATGCCAGGTAAAAGTTTTAAAGGTTCTGCTATAAATGTTGCCTAGCAGCTACAAAATATATCCACTTTGGCAACCTATGCAGCCACAGAACAAGGCATATTATATAGTTCAGTGTCTTTCTTTTATTCTTGCTTAATAACAGTTTTCTATCCCATTTATGTAAAAAGAAAAATATGTATAACCCATGACATGTATACATAACTAGTCAAGTATACTTGGATCTTTAGGTTATGATATAAATGTCAAGAAACAAATTGTTTATTTTTACAGTACTGTTAGGCAGCCAAGAATGCCCCTTTTAATTGAGATTTTTGCACTCATCAAGAGTCCTTAGAACATAGGTGATCCATCTTCAGATGAGCACTCAGTTATTTATAATCAGCACTTAGACCAGTTATGGACCTCTAAATTAACTGTTATCCAATGCAGAAAGGAGCGTCTCTGACCAGAGTTGAAAGCAGTGTAAATCTATGAGAATAAACAAATATTTATAATGCAGTTTGTCGGCATGACCAGGTAGCATGTGCATATGGACAACACTAGCAGGACTCAGGGTTATAAATATCAAAGATATATAAAGATGGGAGGGAGATGGGGAGGAGAGATTTGGAGGGAATTGGAGGGTGGTAGTGGTGGATGGCTATGGTTAAAACATATGTAAATATATGGAACATTCAGAGAACATAAAAATTATTTTAAAAAAAGAATTTATTAGGTAGATTTACTTGTATGGCAGAGCCAAAATGAAGACTAATAAATATAATATGCTTTGTTCTGTGGCTGCATAGGTTGCCAAAGTGGATATATTTTGTAGCTGCTAGGCAACACTTAGAACCTTTAAAAGTTCTACCATGAATGAACATCCTTCTTAGAACTCTTACTAAAGTTTAGCAGCTTTTCTCTGTGTTTTTCATAATGAAAAAATAAACACACAGAAACATATTATATTGAAATATGACTTCCTTACAGATGCTGTTTCATTCTACCAGTCGTCAACTCAAGACCAAAGGTGAATTACAATGGATAGGTGTAAGAGAAGCTAAATGGAGTTTCCTGCTATTTGTTTAACTTTTAACTATTGAGAATGGAGAAAGGGATGGAATTACAAAAGAAGGTGTGTAATGGTAACATTAAGATTCCTGAAACACAAGCAGTCTGTGCAGGATGCATCAACTCCTGGGGAAGATTAAGAAGAGCAGGGAAACCTATTAGCCTACACAATTCATTGGCATGCATGTTTATCTATTGAAACTCATAAGCCAATGGATGTTGTAAAAAAAAATCTCCTGAGAATGAAGCTAGTGGCACCGTGAAAGATGCTTAGCAGGGTCTTCCATACCTTTCTTATATTCTTTTTTGCTGCTATTCAAAGCTGAAGCCATCTGCCAACCTCAATGCTGCCAACCTGAGCAAGAAAGTGACCTCTGCCACTTCATCCTTTCGCTCTTCCTTAACAGTTAATACCATCTGTTCCATGATGAGTTTATTCCTGTCCAGAGTTGATCCACCCTGGTCAATCTAAACATTGCTATTTTCTTTAACAGGCCAGGCTGCGATGACAAGAGACTGTCAGCAGCAGTAGCAACAGCAGCAAGAGCAACAGCAGCAAAGTTTGCTAAAGAAGTCATAGAAGAGCACTTAGAAGTGAGAGGCAGGAAGGTCAGGAATCCTAAGTTATACTTGGCCACAGAGCAAGTTCCTGGAGACTAGCCTGGGCTACTTGAAAACCTATTTTTTTTTTAAAAAAATAGGGGCTAGATGTGACTCAGTGGTTAAGAACAATTGCCTCTATTTCAGAGCACCTGGGTTTGGTTCCCAGCAGCCATATGCCTGTTCACAACCCTTTTTAAGTCCAGCTCCACGGGATTTGTGCTTTCTTCTGGCCTTGGGAAGCAGGCATGCATGAAGTGCACATATATACATGCAGGCAAACATGATACATATGATTAATTATTGAATATAATTAAGTTATAAATAATGAGCACTATGTGAGGTTTACTGTTATAACAGATAAAAAGCTGAATATCCTGAAAGTGATAGGGATTTAGATTTTAAGAGGAATAGTAAAGTTGAGAAACAAGTGGCAAAAATTGAAAACAAAATTAAGAGGAAAATTGTTCAACTATACATTTATGTTACATCTGGACTTGTATATTTCAAAAGAAATGTGTAGCAGATCTAACCTAATTTTACACTGAGATTTAATCTTCAGAATATTCCTAAATTGTGAATTGTAATAGTATCAGGAGACCAGAGGGAAATAAAGAATACCTTTCTAAAAACCATGATAATCACATTTTAAATGGGATGTTCAGCATACAGTGAATTTCCATGTTTCTTCTCTTGAAATTTTACCGTGCTTGAAATTGGAATTCATGTAAAAAGAGAAAAGAGTGTTAAATTGTGACTTTTTGTGAGCTGGGGTTTATTCCGCATGCTTTTCTAATTCAGAGAAGAGAGAATGTAGCTCTAGGATGAGAACAAAGTGAAAGACTAGCTGAGATCCTCACTGAAATGTTTATGAGCTCCATGGGGAGTTTTCAGTATCTCAAAAGGATTTTCAACATCTGACAGTAGTGCTTGATAGAAATTGGCAAAAGCAGATTGCCATTTCTTGCAGTACAGCTTCAACAAAATCACACAATATTTAAAGGGTTTGTGTTTTTTCTCTTTGAAGATTGTGTTTTAAAATAGCAAAAATGAAATGCTATGTATTAAAACATATAGGACTTATGAGAAACAGTTGCAGCAAATTTCTTGAAGCATCTTCAGTCATTACTATGTAATTTAGTTATTACAGTGTCATAAAACTGTAAGAGGAAAGCAGAAAATTCTCAGAACTCTCCATGAAGGTGACATTTCCTTGTGGACAAATACACTTAGAGAGCCATTGGAGGGGTTTTGGTTTGCTTTGGTTTGGGTTTTGGCTCTAGCTCAAAAATAGGAAGAATTTAACCAACTTGCATCAGATTTACCTACATTATTTTGCTGTAAAGGCATTATTATACAATGGTACTTTATTGGGGAGATGCAATATTTTGAAAATATCTCAGTTTTTTTAAATTTTTTTTATTTAATTTTTTAAATTCAATTTACATACCAACCACAGATCACCCTCTCATCCCTCATCTAGCTCCCCTGCAGGCCACCCCCAAACCCACTCCCCATTCCCTCCTCCAAAAGAGAAAGACCACCCATGGGGAGTCAGCAAAGCCTGGTACATTCAGTTGAGGCAGGACTAAGCCCCTCCCCCTGAGAACATGAGGATCTATTTAGTTCTTAATGTACTTTAGCTGAAACTCACAGCCAGAGTTAATACACCTTGAGGTCGCTTAAGACTGCTAACCTATTCTGTACTCTCTTTAACTAGCTTTTAAGAGAACTACATCTTAAACTAGTGGGAAGGCATGAATTGTGGACCAATAGCTGAGGAGCCCCCATGGTACTTGACTGGGCCTTCTGGATAGTTGAGACAGTTGTTTAGCTTGAACTGTATAGGAGGCCCCCAGGTAGTGGGATCAGAACCTGTCCCTAGTGCATGAGCAGGCTTTTTGGAACCTAGTGCCTATGGTGGGACACTTTGTGCAGCCTTTGTGCAGGAAGGAGGGGCTTGGACCTTCTTCAGTTCAATGTACCAGGTTTTCCTGACTCCCCAGGGGAGACCTTGCCTTGGAGGAGGTGGGAATAGGGGGTGGGTTGGGGGGAAGGCTGGGGGGCTGGAGGAAGGAGGACAGGGGAATCTGTGGTTGGTATGTAAAATGAATAGAAAATCTCTTAATAAAAAATGTATTTAAAAAAAGAACTACGTAACAATTAACCTTGGATTTCCTATGTAATCAGCTTTTAAAGCCTAAGCTAATACAAAGCTGCAATCTAAATTGCATTCTAACATGCCCCAACCCAAAGCAGTGCATGTATTTCATTTGCTGAAGACAGTAAACACAGAAGTTGAAAATAACTCCTAAAGTCTACCATAAAGTTTGAAAGGAACTTTTCTGGATATCAGTTGCTAAACAATGACATTTATTATCTGAGTCAATTACGATCAGTTTGAGCCAGTGAGAGTTCCTTGTAAAGCAGTTAAAAATTTCTGTAAAGTATCTCATTCCTTCCCTGTGGGAGCCCGTTCTCGGGTTCCTCGTGGCTTTACCCAGCATGTCCGCATAGAGGATGATTAGGACCACGGGCCTGAGTGCAGGTGTCTGAGATGGTCTGCACTTGGCTGTGCTGGGGGAGGAGGTCTTTTGCTCCACCCCTTGGTGTCTATAAAAACCCTGGGGCAGAGACAGTCGGGCCCGTTGGAAAAGGTTCCAGGCCCTCTCGAGACTATCCTTTATTTTCTATCTGTTTATCTCCGCAAGATTCTCCATAATAAATCCTTCTATCTAATATTTCCTGCTGCTCGCACTCAAGAAAACTCTGGGGAACTGTGGGGGTGGTTGGGTAAACGCCCCACACTTCCCTATAGGTTGATTTCTGCTTTTAAATGAAGATAAAGTGAAGTTCTTTGTTAGGGACAGACACCACTCACACAGATACACACATAGTCATGTGACAGACATATGTAAGGACAGACAGGGACAAACAGATCCATAAGACAGCCTTCAAGGGGACAGAGATTCACAGTCATGCAGACAGGATGGAAGACACAGGAAGTGTGAAGTAGTGAATTCAAATCTGGAGTCTCTCTTCAAGGGGACAGAGATTCATAGTCATGCAGACAGGATGGAAGACAAAAGTGTGAAGTAGATAATTCAAATCTGGAGTCTCTTGGGTAAAGGAGTTCAAGGGGAAGTGCTTTTCTTTCTTTCCTTAATGGGACACGGATTCATTATGGGTGATTAGGAGCTAATCACTAATAAGTATAGTCCACACACTACAAATATTTGTCACTTGAATAAAGTAGTAAAATATGGACTTAATTGTGTTGCATAGCATAATAGATCTATCTATAATCCCAGTACTTAAGAGGATGAGGAAGGGGGATCAAGAATTCAAGGTTATTCTGGACTACATAGTGAGTTCCTGGCCAACCTGAACTGCATGAGACACCTCTCCAAAAATAATGATAATAATAATCATAAATTAAAAATAAACAGTGGAAAACTTTTAGAAACAAAATAATATAAATTATTGTATATAATGTATTTTTGCATGTACTTAGATTTATACAGAAAAAAATTAATCAAAATGAATTATTCCCCACAGTGGTTTAGGAAAAGTGTAAATCTTTTTATTTAAGTTTCTCTTTAATAATGTAACCAAATGATTAGACATATTTTCCTTGCAATAACACTTATATTCAACTTCATGTTCTGATTAATATGTTTAGCTGTAAAATTCGGAAAATGTACAAAGCAGTATAAATACTTCTCTACATTTTGAGCAGTTGTGGATCTCTGTGGTAGTCTGCATTTGTTGCAAAAGGAAGCTTCTATGATGAGAGTTGAGAGCTAGACTTATGTGGGCATAAGGATATGTATTTAGAATACAGTTAGAAATGACATTAGTTTAGGGAAATAGAAATAGGTTCTCTTCTAGGGTCTGTGACCTCTCCAGCTACAGATAGCTGGTTTAAGTCCCATTGACAACTGTTGCTTTCCCACAAGATAAAAATGCCATTATTATACCATTGGGAATATCCTGCTGGATAAGTCATTGCGGTTTATAAGCTTGAATGCTACATAGGACTATTCTTTCTCTGTGTGGTCTCTTCAAGTTTGTGAAGGAATGGCCCAAGTATTCACAGGGTACTCTGTAGCATGAATCTTAAAGAATCTTATTAATAAAATAAAACCTGGAGCTGGGTATTGGGGTGAATGCTGGAAGATCAGAGAAGCAGAACAAGCCACAGCCACCTCGCCTTGCCAATTCCTCAGCTGATCCTGTTTCCTCAGACTGGAAGCCTCTGAGTCCTTATCCAAATGTGTCTCAGCTGAACTGCTTCTAGAAGCCTAAAAGCTTAACCAGGCTCTAGTTCCTCGTCTTCATGCCTTAAATACCTTTCTGCTTTCTGCTATCACTTCCTGGGATTAAAGGCATGTGTCACCATTCCTGGCTGTTTCCAGTGTGACTTTGAACTCACAGAGATCCAAACGGATCTCTGCCTCTGGA